AAGTTTTATCAAAGCATCTCGTATCAGAAATCTGAACTTTGGTAAGAAAGTCAATAAAGTATTGATTTCTAGAAGTCCAGCTGATTTCTGAGTACATGTCAAAGCTAGTGGGAGCATAAGTGTTATGCTAATAGTCATCATGTTAGTGGGAGCATGATAATTATTGTTAGTGTTGCAAGTCAGCAATGTTAATTTATAGAAAACAAAAGTTTCAATTCGTGAGGTTGCAGGGATTGAAAAAGTTGTTTTGCTATAATTAAGGGAAATGATATACTTCATTTCAGTTCTAAAGGCTTAGATTGAGACCTTAATCATCTTTAGTCAATAATATATATATATGAATTTCATGTTGGATTGGTTCAACTTAAGGAAATTCTATATATTGCATTCTCAAAATTCGATTATGATTACGGCATCCCTCTTCATAGTCAAATTTTGAAAACATGGCAAATAAAAATATTGTAGCAAAAGACTGGTCTAGAATCATGTCTTTATGTGAGACATCATGAATCGTGTACCATTTGCTTTGGGTACAGGATCGATTGCATGTGCTATAATATTTGTCATTTCTAAATTTTTCCAAATGCCCAGAGGCATTAAGAAGGGAAAAGGTCTAGAATTGGATATGACTAAAATGATTAAACAATTGTTGAGGACAATCTGAGGTTTACCAAAGATTGGTTGCTCAGGGACAGTTGGAAGTATAGTGCTAATTTTGGAAGGACCATATTGACATATTCTGAAAAGAGGCATCTCTTATTCAGAAGTGATAGTCAAAATGAGAATATGGAGTTGTCTCCATAGGTGGAAGTTATCTGTGTAAGATTAGAAAACTTAATGCAAGAAGCATGTCCAAAGCAATGTACTTTGAATATGAGACTTAGTTTCCATGGAGTTGATCTCCATTGGAATACCTTATAATGACTGTTGACAAGTCTTTGTGACTTTGTACGTATTCATTACAGGAGGGTCAGTGCATATAAGTTTAAAATCTAAACAGATTTCGATAAATGATAGGAATTTGAAATTCTCACATTTTTCGATAAGGATTTGGGAGTGTGAAATTAGAATCATTGAAATTATGTTCAATTGATTTATTTCACAAAGTAAGGATCATAGACAAACATAGAGTGCATACTTGGTGTATGGCAAAGCTATTGTTTAAGAAAAACATAGTGTACATGCTTGGAGCATGGGACAACTAGTGTTTTTAATTCAAGTATAAAGTTGATAAAACCGAAACAATGAATAATGAGTAATCAGTATGGTGATAAATAAAAGTGTTTATTTATATTCATAGGGTTTGATACCATATTTGATTCATTTATTCTTGTGTTTCACTTTGCATGTTTTGACTTCCAGAATAACTAAGTCGCTCTTCCTGAATGATTAAGTTATTCAAACCATCCACAGTCGGTCATATGTTGGAAGTAGATATGAATCAAGACTGTCATGGGTTGGTTTGTAGAGGTCCAAGTTGGTGGACAAAGTGGTGCTACAACACTCATGAGTGCTCATAAGTTCTGAGTATTGGATTCAACCCGCGCTCATTTGAATCACTTCATGGATTTTATCACGAGTGATCATGAGACGATAATATCTTATATTCTTCAAACCTAGAGATATGAGTTGTTACTATGAGTTGGTTATACATTGATTGCACGAAAACGCATTGGTAACTCGATGTTATAAAACGTGCCTTTGTGTATGATTCAACAAGTAGTAGAACAAGCCATATGAGTCGAAGTTTATCCATTCCTTTTACCTTCGGGATAAAAGCGATATCTGTGGGCCCCTCGATGATTTAAAGATGATACATGTGAGTGCTTGGCCAAGCCAGGACTGATTTGATTTGTTCAATCAGTCAGTCATCATGAATCGGAAATCGGGAAACAACAAATGGACAGAGAGAATGATTGATAATCCATGTCTCAGTCCATATGATATCTAGAATGGAGGAATATATGATCCCTTATCTAATGGACAAGTCATTGACAAAGGTCAGAGTTCATCGACAAGGTCAGAGTTCGACAGAAGCTTTTGAGAGCTACGATTGCTGATCGGTTCCTGAAGTCATACGCAATAATAGTTTTAGACTTATCCAAGTGGGAGACTGTTGGATTAATGTCTAAGTCCATAACTATAATTGGTAAGACTTGACCCGACCCGGCATGGTCCATTTGGGTTGCATGGCATCATGCATTTGGATAGACTATAATGAGAGAAATAACACTTAAGGTTGGTTAATATATTATAAGTTCTAATATATTAATAAGGTTATTTAATTAGTATTGATCAAGAATTAATTTGGAATTAATTAAGTGATCAAAAGGAGACTAACTAAATATATGGGTTGATTGTGTAAATCATTCATTCTTATATATGTGGGCTTGTGATCCAAGATTCCTTATGTTGGACTAAGTCCATGGGGTGACCCATGGATACTCCATGGAGGTTAAAATCCATGGAGCATAAGGAATGGGTAAAGTTATGAGTTACATGGTATAACCCTAATAGCCACCATATAAAAGAATCCCATGGCTCAAGAAATCGTGCACTAATGTGTGAGTGGGAGGGCTAGACGATTTGAAGGAGTGTTCAAGTTTCTCTCAAGTTATTCCAAGTGTATTTGGTGTTGTGTGAACCATTTGAGGTGTCACACTTGGGGCACTAGGCACTCAAGCTTCATGAAGACATTCTACCTCAAAGAGGTATGTATTCTATCTTGTTATATTTATTATTTTGTATGCTAGATTAGGATAATACCTTGGATGTTCATAATTGTATGTATAATAGAGAAAACATATATCCAAGGTATTTAGGGTTGCATGTACACTTAGGAGTGTTAGAATGCTCATAACCCAACAGTTCCGAAACAAGGTGTTACACTCGGCGTTGGTGTTGCCCAGTGTTCTTTCCTCCTAAATGTACTCTTTTTTTGCCTTGTTACTCTAGCCTTGCATTGTCAACCAAGTTTTTAACAGGCTTGGATATACCATCTACTGTACCCCAAATAGCTAATGTGCTTAGGATATTACGATGTTGCAAGGACTTCCTGTTCCCATACCTACCTTCTTGCATATTCTTGGGCCTGAACAACTGAATATTGCACATAGGAAGAATTAACAATGAAACTAATTCTTCAACGGACCCAGGATAAGCAACCACCTTGGAAAGGGCTGCTTTCAAAGCCTGAAATAAATCCATACGATAATTATGAGGGGTGATTTTGACAGTGGTGGTAGGCAACTTAAGCACACGATCAAGGATTTGAGCATCCAACACCAATCCCTCATTGAGTTCGGCCTCCGGTTCATTGTGTGGCAGCTTTTGAATACCAACAATATGTCATCCTATGTCATCATCCCCATCATTAAATTTAATAAGACCATCAGATTGGTGACACGAGTGACTCAGGGAATGTAGACTCATGCAATCCCCACATATCCATTAACTAAACACCTTCAATGTTGCTGCCACTGACATAAACAATCCTTGGTCTAAAGAAATAGCCTCTCGCAACACAGCTCTACACTCATCCGTAGGGAGGTTCAAGCTCATGAGATGAGCAATCATACGAGAAATCCCCTTACTTCCTACTTCGCCAATCCGGAAACAATGAAACCACCGAAAAGGACACGACCAAGTTCTGCTCGTAAATGTATGAAAAGACGCCATTAACACACAAACAAAGTTTATTTAAGCCTCAAGGTGAGGCTCAAAATTAGAAGTAGAAACCTAAAGTAAAATGCGACACTTCAGTAAAAGGTTGGAGTGTGCACAAGGAAAAAAAACACCGGGGAGAAACTCTACATCTTCTTGAGTCCAAAGTATGTTGCATCACTTGAAAACCTCATTTAGACATTTTATCGAACACCTGGCTGGGAAAAAAAGAAGTAACCCATGCATAATGTTTAAAGAGGGCAGAAAGTAAGGAATAAGTCTCGATTTATGCTAGATTCGAAATTAATAAATCACTCCAGAACTTTCTTCAACGATCGTACCTTGCTGTGAAATCAAAGGGTCTATACAAACCTGATCGATTTATTATTCTAATTCTCAGCTCTGATCTCTCTCTCTCTCTCTCTCTCTCTCTCTCTCTCTCATTCAACAAGCTGCCCTATGTCTCCATGCCGAGCTGGAAGAAGAAGCAATTTTGAGTCAAACGAATTCAAGCCATAGGGTTGTGCGATGGAAGGAAGAGCCAAAGAGAGAGGCTGAGCAAAATTGCCTTGAGCAATATCCAATGTCCATTCGTAGATGATGAACGATTGAGAGCAGTATTTCTTCGGTGAGATAGAAGTGATACTGGAAATTTATTAGTTTGTGTTTCAGGAATCAGTAGCAAAAAATAGAAATCAATAGCATATGGTGTGTGTTGGCTTGTGATTTCAAAAAAATACATTGTTTGTGTTTTAGAAAATGCATTGTGATTCAAAACTGATTTTAGAAAATGATTATTTGTGTTTAATTTAGAAAATGCATTTTGGTTCAAAATTGACTAAAATCACACGGTTAAAAACTATATTGCAACTGTGGAAATAAACCTAAAAATGTATCACTATATGTATCGCACCCTTCGGTTTCTTTATTGAAAAAAAAATGCATTTGTGGGTTGCGGATCATTTTAGCCAATAGCTATAGTGAACCGAAGTGTGCTCACTTATAATTAATACTATATTGGAATACTTCTTTAATATATATAATTATAATTATAATTTAACTAATAAACAAATATCTAAATTGTTATTTAAAAAAATTTGTAGAGTTTGCTTTTACACTTGCATGCTAAGGAAAATTAACACCACACTTCACACGTGCTCCTTTGTTATATCCGGGTTTATCCGTGTGCGCGTATTTATCGTATGCACGGACTGCCTCCTTGTATTGCATCGCGCCACCCCCAGTATATATATCCATCTAAAGTAATCCAAAATTTAGCATTTAAAAGTCAACAAAAAGTCAACAACTAAAAAACCTGAGCACTTTTTGTTTTTGAAATGAATCCACCAAGTCCATGTTCTGACCCGAACTCATACTCCCACCCAAGTCCGTTAAACCGGCCCGATAGAATGAGCCGGTCTCACGATGGAGTAATACTAGCATCAACTAAGCCAAAGAAACGGGTGGGTCGGACAAAGTTCAAGGAGACCCGACATCCAGTTTATAGAGGGGTCCGAATGAGGAGATCAAATAAGTGGGTTTGTGAAGTACGTGAGCCAAATAAAAAGACTCGAATATGGCTAGGAACGTACCCGACTGCTGAGATGGCAGCTCGGGCTCATGACGTGGCAGCTTTGGCATTGCGTGGTAACCTTGCTTGTTTAAACTTTGCTGATTCTGTTTGGCGGTTGCCTGTGCCGATCACCAATAATCCCACTGATATCAGGAAGGCGGCAGCCGAGGCTGCGGAGGCGTTTAGGTTGAAAGATATGGAGGTTGACGGTGGTGATGGGAGGAGAGATGTGAGTGATGATAAGGGTTCTGATGGGACGTTGTCGGAGAGTGAAGGAATCACGACGGCGGAGGAGGTGGAGAGTTATATGGATGAAGAGGCGGTGTTTTACATGCACAGGTTGATTTCTGACATGGCAGAAGGTATGTTGATACCTCCACCTCCTTGCTTACGTGGATGGAGTTCAGATGACGTGGAAAGTCCAGATGCTGACATGTGTCTCTGGAATTTCTCAATTTGAAAGCGTGTAAATTCAATGGAGGCAATTTAATTAACAATATATATTTGTTAAAATTAATGTACAGAAGCTCATTTTTTATTATATTATCTTTTTAAAGGGCCTTTTTAACGGATAGTTATGAAGTTTTAACGTGATCAAGTGTTGGTTTGGTTCTTTGAGAAGTTTATAAACTTATTTTAATCTTTTTTTAAAGAAAGTTTTATAATATTCTTTATAGATTATTGTTTGATTAAATTTTGAACTTCTGTAAATAAACTAGTTATATTTGATTCATTACTCCTTGTGTGTTATACTAAATTGACTTTTTAATGTTTGTGTCGATGTTCATTTATGATTTGTTGAAAATATACCAATTGTTATCATTATTGTTATTACAAGAAGTACACTTCCCATAACTTTATATCTATAATGGTTTTATAATAGTCGGCTTTTTAATACGGTCAATTTTTTGCTTAATGAAATGATGAATGTTCTATATTTTAAACTAAGTTATAAGTTGGTAAAACATTTGGATTGTTGCATGTGGAAAATATTATTAGTAATGTGTTGACTCAAACTCATATGACTCTAATCAGCTTATGTGATCATGGAAATTCGTTTGTAGTGACTCTAGATAATAGGCATAGTCTGATGTTCGTAGCGAAAATTAGTCAATATGCGAAAGTTAGCATGAAAACCATCGTTATCGAAGTTCCGCTTTCCAAAAAAACTAGGTAATTTGGTGTCATTAGTTCATTTGATATAAGGTCAAACTTTTCATACATTTAACTACATATCTTTTATCATATATATATTGTAGCTAATATTACAAACACATAGTCGAAAATTTATTTGATGATATAGATGTAGGATTGAAACTCAAAAAATAAAAGAAAAAAAATAGTGATGTAATAATAAAAGACCGAATTACATAAATGGTCAATGTGGTTTGGTAGATTAAAGAGTTTGAATTAAAATTCTTTTTCTTGCATCAATCGCAATTTACCTTCGTTTTTCTTGCATGATTGGTCCCTCCTCCTACAATGTTAGAAATATGTTAAGCGTTTGTAAAAATTATTTTACCTTTGTTTTATCTTTTTCTGAATTTATAATTTTATCTTATTAATTATTTTGTATTATTATATTCTAAGAATCTCATCCGCCCCCACTCTCATCTCTCTCATCTCCATCTTTCTTCTCTCACCGTCCCTATACTCCGACCTTCATCATCGACTAAATTAACAACCATCTCCTTAAGGAGAAATCACACTATAGTTCATTTTTAACTGGTGGTACTTGGGTATTGTGCTCGGCGCCATTACCACCATATGAGTTCTCTGATTCACATCCAAGACAACAATGGATGGGGCTGGAGATTTACAATTCTGGTTGTGGTGGTCGTGATCACGCTAATAAGCTTGTTTTTAGCAAGGAAAATGGGAGGCTATCGTATGTATGTCAAACCATGAAATTTGTTATTGAGGGGTATAACCGGCAACCATAAAATTGCTTATTCCAACGTGAAACACACATATGTTAAATAGGGATAATAAGCATTTATCATAAAATTAGTAAGAGGGGTTTCTATAATCTCAAGGCCATGATTAAGCACCTCATGGCATGTCTTCTTCATGGTCTCGTATAATTCTTTTTCCATATTTACTAAAGGTACACTATCATGGAGAATCATTTAAATACCAAAGGAATACAAGAAAAAAAAAAGTAGAAAAAAGCTTTTTTAGTAATGAACCTTGGAGAGTACTCATTTGAATTTCCATGTTATAAAGAAGTGTATGTGTATCACGTAATTTGAACTCTTTAGAGTTTAATGGATTACCAAATTATACATATACTCTTCATACAAGTCTATAAAAAAATTCTACAATACATTAAACTCTATAAATTTTAATGGATTAGATATTTAAGAATTAAAAAGTTGTTTTTTTCCTATTTAATAGTTTAATGACCATTGAACTTCATATCCAACATGATTTCCCACAATAATAGAGTTTAATTGATTGAATGTTAATTAGACATGTCACATCTTTCAACTCTCCTTTTATACTATAAAAGCAAGTGGCGTGCATCATACTGACACACATTTGAGCAATTTCTATGACAGGTTCAAGTTATTATTTTGTAATCAAATTAAGAGTGTGACCAAGTATTACTAATTTAAAATCTTTTAGTGTGTAATTATATATATATATATATATATATATATATATATAGAGAGAGAGAGAGAGAGAGAGAGAAAAGAGTTAGGATCATATATAAAATATAAATATTGTGTGAACGTATAAACAAATATGGTCCAATCATTTGATAAGTGTATTATAGTAAATTTATTATTTAAATTAAGTATTATATTAAATTAAATCTCTATAAATTTGGAAAATTAATTAATATAGTTAATTCGTAGCTTTTTTATTTCAATCACCACTATAATCGAGTATAATCGACACCACCTGTTCTTCATCAAGTAACGATCTCGAAGATTCCAATGGTGAAATCAGGATTATTGTCCTCGATTGTTAAGAGTAGATGGCATCTATTCTTACTCTTATTCCCTCTTAGTCATCAACATTTTTTTTCATAGGGACGATACGTTTGGGGGAGATATGATCTGATCTCAACTTCCTCTTTCTCAACTCCCTATATATCGTCATTGGTTCTTTATTCTCTTTAGAAAACGACACAACAGAGCTCGAACTGGTGGTCTTATTTTGTTGTATCTTTATCTCTTATGTCAGGTAAATCATCTATGTCTATCAAATTTCATTCTCTTTTGTTGTATATAATTGAGTTTTCCTTCAAATTCTCAATCCTAAGCTCGTTAATTGACGAATCATAGAGTTTATTTTCTTATGTAATTTGTATATGCCTCAACATATATACCACAATACTCGATGATGCCATATATGTTTTATGATTTCTTGTGAAAATCCAATAAAACTGGTCATGGTGAATTTATCTGACATGTTTTTGTCGTTCCAGAAAAAGTATTATTTTTATAGATGATTTTAGTTATAGTGTTCCAGTGTCTTGTTTTTTGTCAAAAGGTTTCTATGTGGATGTTTCTATCTTAATTTTTTGCTACAATCTATAGTAATTTTTATACGCATTGTTTGTGTTTGATGAAATGTCATAGAGAATATGGTTACATGTTTAACTATTACAACTTGTTATACTCTGATTTCGTAGTACTGGGTATAAACTTTGGCGTTACTGTTATGCTGAACAACAGAGGCGTTCATGGAGCATAAACTTGCCAACTCCTCGCTTTGAAAAAAATTGATGGTTAGCTCACTTCTCCTTATAATTAATATTTATATTAATATTCTTTGATGTGTGGAATTCTTTTGTTGTTCTCCAGTTCTTATAGCTATCAAAACACACCCTGACCAAAAAAATATAGAGGTAAGAGGGGCAGAAGTGTCTTCAAGGGGATTGAATTCTTCAAGAATGTTTGAATTCTTCAAGAATTATTAAATTACATAAATATGTTGCAGTGTTACAAACATGCAAATGGATTATATTCTATAATTCTTCAATAATACTGAAATTTCACAAGAATTCTCCAGACCCGTATATCGAGTTTTATTCAAGCATTCTTCAAGAATGTTTGAATTCTTCAAGAATTGTAAATTGTCTTCAGTTCAAATTTTTTATACAAGTTATATATATTATTCTCAAGGAATGTAATTTATGTAATCATGTAATATATGTAATCAATGTATATCTTGTGAGTACTATGTAAAAAGAATGTTGCAAATACTTTAAAAATATGTTATAATATATTTTTGATGTATTCTTAATTCTTAAAGAATTATATGTGAAATGAACGCTATGTGCAATTAAAATCAACAAAAATTGGATTAAATCGAATTTTGTAGATTTTTTAGAAACACTATATATTTTAAGAATGCTTTCTATATTTTATATTAATTACAATTAAATTAAAATTAAAATTGATTAAAACATTGTAAGAAAAATCAGTCAAACATATGTATCCTTAAAATCCGTCCTTGATAATTTGTTTAAACCAAAAATGTCTTATGTTTTATTATAGAAATTAATTCATTTTTTTCCATTTAATTACCATCATGTCATTGTCGATCCTAACCTTCAAATCTTTTAATCTGATGGCTACAATTTGGTCATAGGATCACACAATACTTACAATTCATATTTAATCCTAACCCTTTATATATATATATATATATATATATATATATATATATATATATAGAGAGAGAGAGAGAGAGAGAGAGAGATAGAGGGGGAGGGGGAAGAGAGGGGGGAGGGGGAAGATCAATGGAGAACTAAATTGAGGGAGAGAAACAACAAACTTTTTATGTATAGTGAATTTAGGTACCAAATTTCACATGTGCATGTACATACATATATCTAAGACAATCGAAAAAAAAAATTTAAAAAAAAATATTTGAATGTACATATGCACATTTTTTTTTGAAAATGTATATTTGCACAAGGCAATTAAATACATATGATTATGTTTATGTATATGCATATGGACATGCATATGCATAAGAATAAGTATATAACATATGCATATTCATATGCACAAGCATATGCATATACATAACAATAATTATATACATATGTTGGATTAGGTGTCTAAGTCCATAAGTAAAATTGGTATATACTTGAATTGATAGTAGCACAGTCATTTTGGGTTGCCCTCAAACCTAGCAATTGGACAGGATGATTTTTTTGGAGAGATAGATTAATTTATTACGTGAATAATAAATTAAATAAATGGTTTATTAATGTGTTATGAAAATAATATATTAATTAGAAATCATATTGTTTGATTAATAATTAATCAGAAATTAATTGGAATTAATTTTGGGATTAATTGGATTAATTAAAAGTACATGGACTGTTTTGTTATTTATTAATAGTTGTGAAAGGAAGGCTCTAAAACCTCATGAAAGAGGTGGACGAAAATCTCTAGGGAAACCCTAGGATATTTCTTCTAAGGCCCCTTGGACAAG